GTGATAATGTACTTCGTATCTTTGTACGATCAAACATCGATCATCAAAATATATGAGATCTGCGGAAATATAGAACAGATCTATCTTTGGAAATATAGAATAGATCGATCTTTGGAAACATAGAATAAATCATTATAATAAATTAAAATTTCTTCATGAACCTTTGTGAAAATATATTGTGGTTAAATAGATTATTCTAGATCAGGGCTGTCCAACTGGAGGCCCGCGGGCCGCATGCGGCCCTCCAACACATAGCGTGCGGCCCGCCAACTTTTTATTCTGGCTGATCGGCCTTAGTTTTCCCATTAAAATGTAAACAAACTGTTTCATAGTCCTCCTGTTCCATTGTTTTATAATTAATAATTCAACTATTAATTGTTATTGTATAAGAGGTAAGAGGTTATTGATCAACTTTTTCAAACTGCGGCCCGCCAGGTGATCACTGACCGGAATTCTGGCCCGTGGGCTCTTTGCAGTTGGACAGCCCTGTTCTAGATTAAGCATATTATTTATTTTATAATTTTATTTCAAAAAATTGTTTTTTTTCTTCCCCTTCCAGAAATTAGGTTTGTCAAAGCTCATCGGAGAAGAACTATCTTCACTTCAAGTATTGCCACCTATAGCAGTAGTTGCAGTACTTTGCTTCATGACAAGCATGATTACTGAAATTGTGAACAATACGAGTACTGCCAATATATTGCTACCTGTCTTCAGTCAAATGGTAGCTTTTTTTAAACATTCATTACGTTTTTATATATTGTGCATTTTATTGAATTTATGAAATATTTTAGTAAATCTCAACGTCCTTAGAAAAATAATATTTTTAAAAATGACTGTAATGAAATAGTTTTATGTGGAATTTATTAATAATTAAAGAAATGTGATAAAAATTAATAAATTTTGAAATAAAAATAAAAGATTTGAGTTTGATAATTCTAGCAGTACATTCAACATTTCAATATTTGAAAGGCTTGGAGAAATTTAATGATAAGCCACATTTTCGAACTGTCCATGAGAATGGGTTTGATAAAATTTACACCATGATTTATTTATATATTTCTGATATATATGTCTGAGTTTTCTGTAGTAAACAAATGGAATTCCAGGTATTTGTAAAGTATCAATTATTTCAAAATAAGTCTAAGGATAAGGTCAGTGTAAAAATGTGGATTAACATTGTTATGAATTTATGAGTGTGTAGATAGCATATATTGAATGAATTTATTTTCTGTATCTCTGAGTTCAATAAATTGAAGGAGATTCAGTGTCTTTTTAATTTATTTTACAATGATGCAAGGTAAATAAAACATTCCTTTTCCCTAAGTACCTATTTTTCTTTTTTCTAAGTGCCAATAATAGTTTAAGAATGGAGAAGTTGTTATGCTGTACATATAAATGGTCCCATATCTCCCTTTAATATTATTCTATAATTTTCAAACTCAAACCCCGTTAATGATCACTATTTTAAAATTATGTTTCAAAATTAAATATGTTTTCAATCATTATTATAATTATTTCTTTTGGTATGATAGTATTGTAAGGTATAATATAATACCTGAGCGAGTTAGAAAATAAAAGGCTAATATTAAAGTATGATATTGAGCCATAAATATATACAATATATGAGCAATATTTCTATTTTTTTTATCGCTATTATACGAACTTCGAAAAGGAAAAGTTTAAGTAAAGAAATATTTTTTATTTCATTACAATATTGCAAAATAATTAAAAAAATAACTTTTTCTAATGTTAGCTTTTAAATATTGAACACGTCCGAGGTCTGAACCCCAGATCCTTGGAACTAATGTTTTCTGACCTGTTTATTAATTCAAAGCCATAGCGGAAACTGTAAACATATTCCCCTAATTCGTCAACAGTTTTGTGGTTTGGTCTAAACTTTAAGTACATTCAACTATTGGTGGATTTTGGTTTTATAACGATTGTTGAAAATTAAAGTAGAAATTAGGTATTTCTGTAAGGAAGGAGCCGCAAAATAAGTTTGACATTGCAATTTGGTCCCCTTGCGTCCAAACTAAGTATTCTACAGATTTGTATTTACGTATATTAAAATAATTATTGGTCAAATTTTAAAAATTAGAGTTTTATATAAATGCAAAGTACAGGTCGTTGTAATATAAGCAGAGCAAACAAGAAATCTTCAGAAATTTCATAAGTGAGCTATTTTTATAAAGTGGAATATTGAAAGCGATAATTTAAAATCTTTTATTAAAATTATTAATTTCTAAAAACGGTTTTATTTCTTTAATAAAAAGGAGAAATAATTCGCGATTAATTAGCCCTTTCATTTACATAAGCTTTAGTAGTCTGCCATTTGTCTCAAACTCACAGTTGTGGGATTAGCAGTTATTCACAGGACTATGCGGCTTGATGTAGTAGTTTAGTATGTTATTGCATCGATATATGATCAAGTTTCGAAATAATAGGTTTAAAGGACAGTTTCTCTTCCCAAAATTGATTTAAAAGTTGTAGTACAAGATATTTCTTGCTATTCCTTATTATTAATATCATAATTATCTTTGTTTGGATCCAAATTTAGGTCCATTGTCTTTTTAAAATTAAATTGGTTATTGGTCTAAAGAAGTAACGTCATGGTATGAGAAGAAATATGTACTATCACTTTTTACTGGTAAGGGACTGTAAATTAGATGTATGTCTTACTCTATTTGAAAATAAAATACACTTTGAACTTGCAAATATTATAATTTATTTGATAATCAATCTACCGATGTTAAAGAATTACAACAGTCTAAATATTTGCATATTAAATTTTCTTGATTAACAGTTTTTAGACTTTGGAAAGGTGTTTTTAGGTGTTACAGCAAAGTCTTTATTTACTTTCAGACAAGTCCTGATTTACTTTAGGACAAGTCGTGATTTTTTTAAAGACAATTCGTGATTTAATTTAAGACACGTCTTGGTTTATTTTCAGGCCAGTCGTGATTTACTTCCTCTTGAACAATCTCCTGAAGATTCGAGAGAAGAAATGAAAGCATCCTTTCTCTTTTTCTTCCGATTGCTCATTGATAGTAAGCTCAATATCGCTTCGTTGCCAAAAATCTATTTCGTCTCTTAAGGGACCATCACGACTTTTTAATCTAAAATTTAAAAGTAACACTCGCTTTATTAGAAAGTTAAATACAGTTTTTTGTTTTGTTACAACAGTTTCATTTTGAATTATAAGCTTTTTGTATAGAGTAAAAGGTATTTAGGTTCAGATAAATTTTCTAAAGTAGAAATTTCAAAAAACTCTACAATGATCAAAATCGTTATATGATTTACGACAACGTGAAACAATTTCGTGGTGGGTAAACAATTAGGGAGATTTTATCTTTCAGATTTATTGACAATATGTTTTGCTCAAATTTTTCCTGATTTAAAACTTTTACATCAATCAATTTATCTTAATTGCTTAAAAGTAGTTAAAATTATTCAAAATGATTTTTCGGTCAATTTTTAAAAATTAGTTTAGCCGAAGTAAAATACATCTATATAATAGTGTGAGGAGCACCAAAATAAAAAAAGGAAGAAAAAAAAAAGGGAAAAAAACGGTTTTAAAAATAATACGTCATCAAGCAAAAATTTCCCCCAAAATAAAGAAAAACTCAAAATAGAACAGAGATAGAAACATAAAGCGATAAATGAGAACGGTCGACGGTCATCTCCTTATGAACATTTTGCAAAAATGATTTAAACACATTTTCCTAACAAAATTTACCAGATTACAAAATATGAAATTAAAGCGTAAATAAATGGTATTCGGATATATTTTTAAGTTCTTGCTGAAGTATAAAACCACATTAGTTTTCTCGCTTACTTTGGAATCTATCGAATGCTAGACTTGCGTATGGTATTAATATATTATACTGGATGGTTCAAAATTGAGAAGAAATAAAAGGTCGAAGTTCCAATAAAACATTTAAATTCGATGATTTTTTAGAGAAATTATTAACATTTGTTAAAAAATATTTATTGAATATTGGAGAAGGTTAATTTTTAGTTATAAAATTTTATTAATCACAGATTTACCCGAAATGGATTTGCTCATGTTAGTTTTCTGTTTAATTTTTTCTCTTTCATTCTCTATTGTCTCCTAATATATATATATATATATATTTA